TTTCACGTTTTCCGAATTCTTGTTTAAAGGTTTCACCAATTTAATTTAGTAGGTATACACTCTGTGCCGTGAGGCCAGGATTAGTATTTGGCAGCAACGCTGCAGCGATGGAGTTTTTCTGCAAAATGTGTCAGTGAGCTGCACCATGCAGGATGATATTATTATTAATTTAGTAATTTATTATACACATACGTTGCATAATAAGACGTGTCGGAGAACAGTCCAATCAATACAAAACAATTAAATACTATACAATATAATATTGTAGGTATTTATAGACTATAGCTGCGAGTTTTCCGATTTCCCTTTCCAAGGTTTCCCAATTTAAATTGTATGCATTTTGYGCCTCGGCCCGGGTCAGCACTCAGCAGAAGCAGAATATGGAGGGTACTATCATTAATATTAAATTATACATACGTTATATATTATACTATAAGCGTCAGAGAGCGAACCCATTATACGCTTTGCAATTTTGAGRCCAACCAACACCTCCTTGTCTACACGCTGCCTAGTTGGATCATCGTGTATAATTTATTGTAAATTACAGTCGAATCTCGATAACTTAAATATTAAGGGGAACAAAAATAAATTCGATTTGTGTATTTTTCGAGTTACGGATTTCAAACAATACTTAAAAACACTTATAAAAGGCACAAAAAAAAAATTGGGACATCGAGGTTTTCGATTTATCGAGACTCGACAGCAGTATGTCAAAATGAGTTTGGACGATTTACTATAATTAAAACGATATCGGATTGGTACGCCGTACCTGTGTAAGAGATAATAATAATTATAATAAATACACAGGTACCTATATATTATATTATCCGATATTCGTCTCGTTTAGACTTCCTTTGATCATAGTCTCCGTACCGAGTGTGAGTTGACAATAACGTACGCGTGTATACATTGTTATATTCTAYAAGTAATTGAAAACTGGAGACGTTTGCTCAAAAGCGACACGGACTGAACGAGGATAATCTGTGATGAGTAATCTTCGATGTATGTAATATTACAATACTTTATAACGCATATGCATTAATGGCGATTTGATTATTTTAAGAGAGTTTTTTTTTCATTTCATTGAACAATGCGATGCAAAAGGGACGATTCGAAATAGAAACGGCAATAGGTTTGTTACACGTTAAAACCACGATTATAATCTTTATAATCGTGGTTAAAACAAATARTGAGGTTATAGTGATGGGGGCAGATCTTCAACCAGAGCTTTTCGATTCTGAGAGGAGCGATGAATGTAATAGTGATACAATGAAATATTTTTTGACATATTGTTTGTGTCAGTATACTGATTTTACTACTTTATACGATGTTCATCTTTAAAGATGACGTCTGATAAGGAATTAAATCTAGATTGTACTTTTAAGAGGTAAAAATTGAAAATTCTCAGAATTTTTTTAAATAATCAGAAAAACCAAGGAAACAGGTTTTTGAAAAAACCGTCAGAGCCAAATCGTAACTACTTCATCGGTTTAGCCTAACCTATAAGAGATCTGAAGGGGGTCCGAGGTCGTGACGCACAGTGTACAGGCTAATCGAAATCGTTTTGTTTTTTGAAATTACTAATTTACAATTATAATATGTTTTATGAAATATGATTATCGATGTGCCTGAAGTATTACCCGTTTCGATAGATTTTTATCGAGTTCAGTACAAAATAAAGAAGATTCAATTAATAACGCTCGTCGTCCAATTATTTTTCCAAAGTAAAACTCAATTTCACTTAGCTTGAAACACGAATAGAGTGAGTTTTCTTAAGACAACATTCGTAAAGTTTGAAAGCCCTTGTCATTTTCACTGTGAATGTTTACATTTATTAATATGATAAAAACCGTACAAATATTATTTTTATTTTTCACTCGAGAACTTCAAAGTTAATATTATTATTTATTGAACTTTCAATTTGTACGTTAGTGATACTAGGGTATAAAACCTTTTTTTTTACGTATTTAAAGAGCTAGGTTTAAAGAGGCAAAAGTAAATTACTTTTTACATTATCATCACTCATCACCAACGTTAAGTTTGTTTAGTCAGCCTCTTTGAATGTATAATATAATATGCATAAATATTTTTTTGTTTCACCACTTTATGTTCATTTTTAAACAAACAATAGAACGAGTCAAGTATAATACCTGTTTATATATCTGACGACTGTATTTAATATAAAAAATGTAATATAAATGCATAGTGTATTCMTTAAATA